CCCCTGAGACTATGGCCCCTAGTTATCCTTCAGGTCTGGAACTGAACTCGACCCTGTGGCTTCCAGCCAAACAATAGACAGGCATAGAGGGTGAACATTTACATCAGGTAGAAGCACTCCTTGGAGCTATCAGTTGTGGGAGAACAGAAGGGCAGTGTTTGCACAGGGAGACAGCTTGGATAGTGGGAGTGCATGGGAGGGAAGGATACAGGGAAGAGGTAACTATGGGGAGGAAGTGGGAAGAGAGCTGTTACATTGTGGGGAATTGCAGGCAATGTCACGAAACAAAATGTGTATGAATTGCTGTATGGGAAATAAATTTGCTCTGTAAACGGTCACCCAAATCACAATAAAAAAAAAAAAAAAAATTCTTGGATCCCGTGGTGAAGACCTTAAGGCGGATATGGGCATCGGTTGCATTTTACAGCCAATTCCATCACAACAAAGCCAGGAGACTTTTCCCTCGGGCTGCAGGGGTGGGGGGCTGAGGGGAGCCACTCACCCCATGTCCGCCAGGAACTCCTGGAGCCGTTTCTGGCCCTGCACGGACCAGAGCTTGAACCTGGAGGCAGTGTAGCATGTGTTGCAAAGGCTGTCATACAGTGACCAGTGCTGGTAGAGTGCCAGGCGGAGGCTGGGGCAGAGGTCAAGGAGGACTGCGGCATGCCAGGCCCACCTGGGCTGGTACAGGGACCTTTGCAGTGGCAGCCCCATCCCTGGGACTGCCCATCTGCAGTTATCCAACAGATCACTTGCTTGTGTCACCTGGCCTTCTCACTGGGGCCTTTGTGAAACTAGCCATCACAGACCTAAAGGGAATGCTTCTAACATTATTACTTTAATTTGACCCAGATAAAGAGCCTGGCAGGTGGAAACCATACACGACTCAGCAAAACTAAAGCCCCAACTCAGAGAAACTAAGGCACAGAGGTTACTGGAGTCCATGGAGGTCACAGGGCCAGCGGTTATGGCCAGACGCAACTGAACATGACCCCGCTCAGGCTGTCAGCTGCAATGCTTCCTGTATGCGCCATGCAACCCTGCCCCCAGTCCTAGCCACTTCTGCACCACCCCCCTGGAGTTTAGGGGTCCTGACCTCAGCTCTGACCCTTTCTGCCTGTCACTCACTCCCACGACCATACGCACCCTGCCAGCGCATGGCCAAGACAAGCATCCCTGGTGGCCCTGCAGCCTCACTGGTGGTCCCTCTCCCCAGCGACCACCCATCCTCCAATACCTCCTCTAAGACTCACAGGCCCCTCGAAGACAACCCGTCCAAACCCACAGTTATTCCTCCCCAGATGGCCCCCCACAGGAACGGGGCAGCTCCATCATCTACCCACCGGCACGTCCTGCCAGTCGGCCTGCCGAGGCAGCGGACCCTGGCCATGCCTCTCACACCTCCTCATCCCTAACTTATCCTCTACTCAGCAGCCAGAGGGACATTTTAAACAAACATGAGCCAAACTTGGGTTACTCTGTGGCCTCCCACTGGCCTCGGGGTCACAGGCCTCCTGCTGCTGCTCTGGCCCTGTCGCCTCTTCAGCTCCTTCCTCAAGGTCACCTCAGGGCCTTTGCGTGGCCCCAGCCTCTGCCTGGGCTGCTCTCCCCTCCACTGTGCAGGCTGAGACTCAGCTTGAAATGTGCCCTTGGGCTCTTTCTGGGGTACTCCAGGCCCATGGCTCACCCACTGGCTCCACCAATGCCCATGTTTTTTAGCAAAAAGTTGCACAGGACCCGTATTAATTTGTTAATTAATACACATTGTTAATTAACTTGTTAATGAATACACATTGGCTTATTACTTTCTTGACTCAACAGGCATCTTCGAGCTACACAAAGCTGCTGGGACTGCCCAGTGGGTCCTGCCGAGACCCAGCACAGGGAACACCTTGTAAGTGTGGGCTAGAGAAGCACAGGGCTTCTAAACAGCCCTCCCCTTTAGGACCGACTCCAGAGCCAGGCTGGAGCAGACTGTTCTCAGTAGCCCACATGCTTGACCCTGGCCTAGGAAAAATCACAGCTTGCCTTCTCTTAAAGCTTCTTGTCCCCCTGGCTGCCTGTTTTGGGCATGTGGCAGTCACTACCACACAACCCAGGCACACAGCTCTCTGACCAGTGAGCACACGCCTATATTCCTTGGGGACAGAGAGAGGGTGGAGTTGAGCTCTGCAGAGTGTCAAAGCAAAGCTGGCTTGTACCCATGGGCACAACCACAAGGATACTCATACTCAAAGGCAATCCGTGTGCAGTCGACAGAGAGCGTGTGTTCCTCGTCCTCATCCCGGTGGTTGTGCCGGGACACGTGGCGCTGCAGAAGGCCAACGTCAGTCACATACTTCATTCTGGAAGAAAGCACAGCCGCACAGGTAGCCCTCCCGCCCTTGCACCCTTGAGACCCTGCCCACGACACGTGGTCCTGTGCAAGGTCTAGGGAGAGCTCGCCACCTGCACTCAGCTGCCTGGGAGGGGTCAGCCCTGTCACTTTGTGTCACCTCCAAGCCAGCAGCTGCATTGTCTTCATTATGGGGCACCCATGTCTCCACCCTCCACCCACACAACCAAGTGAGGTAGGCCCCGAGTAAGTGCAGTAACCCGAGTGGAGGGTAACGGAGCCTGGAAGTGCTACTGAACACAATGGGTGGTGGCCTGCTGGAGAATGTGCCATCAGAGCAGGTCTCCAAGTGCCATGGGCAAGGACTGTGAAGGAGCGTCCCCTCACCCCCAGGACCTATCACTGGCCTGAGGCCCCAAGCACCCCCTTCCAGCAGGGCTTGACTGCGGTTCGGGGGTGGGGGAGGCAGGAATTGCACGGGGACCCTGCAAACAGCATGAGGAGTCTGCCATGGTCAAGGGTAGGCTGCACGTGGGGCTGTGCCAGGCAACAAACCTGGGACATCGGCTTGGTCCCCAGGAGTGGGCAAGCCTCTTAGGTAGAGGTTCCTGCCAAGGCCCTTGGACTTCCTGAGACAGCACCAGAGGAGGCTGGCTGCCTGGTGGGAAGCGGGAGACCCCGGCACAGCCGATCCAGACCCCAGCCCTGCCCCGGTGTCTGGATCCTTAGGCAGCCCCAAGGGGCAAAACAAGAGCTGGCTTCCCATGCGCCAAAGCCTCCCTGGCCTGCCCTCTGCCTCCAGCCTAAACTCCCTGGCAGGGCAGGAGCGCCCGTTGCTTTGGGGCCCCCAAACTCCTTTCTGCCTCCTACAGAGTCTGGTGCTGCACCTGGCACCCCCACTTTGTCCCTCACCAGCACTTGCACAAATGGGCTAGAGGGCTGTGGGGACAGCTGGTTCCTTCTTTTACCTCTGGCTCCACCTGGTGGACCCTCTGAGGGCAGAGGCAGCATTCACCAAGGCCACACCACTTTATCAGAAGACACTGGTGCCAGGCCCTCCTCCTGTGACAACCAAGTCCCAGTCCAAGGAGAAGAGCCACCTCTATTGTGGCTGGAGCTGGGCCCAGCAGGCAGCCACCCCAAACCCCGAGGGAGTGCATCCTTACTGGGTAATCTTGTCTTGAACCCACTGGTCCGTCAGTCCCACGATGGCCCACCTAGAGGAGAAGGGAAGCACTGGGGCCGGCCTGTATGAGCTGCAGAGCAGCTCCCTCTTGGCATCCGTGGTGGCAGCACGGCCCCCACGCTGGCCAGAGCAGACGTCACTGGGGTGGGGGCTAGGCAATCTCCACTCCACAAGTGGAGAGATTAAATGAGGCAGCTTTCAGCTGCCAGCACACGGGCTGCCCCCTTACAAGGAGGACACAAAGGAGGGAAACTTTTAGGACAAGGGGTGGCAGGCCCAGTGTGAGCTGGGTAGCCACCGCTTTCTGGCCCCTACCTGCACATCCTGCTTGGACACAGGCGCCTGCCACTCTGGGCCTGGTTCCCTGGCTGCTCTCTGCTTTAGTCTTGCCTGGGCTGCACCTCCAGCCCCAGCATGTGGACAGAGGGCTGGTGCAGGACTGTGCTCACACGTCTGTGCTCGGGTGCCAGCTGACCCCGGCCTGTCCTTTTACCTCTCCGAGCTCCTCTCGCCACTTGCCACTCGGAGCCTAACAGATCCTACTCACACCCACCTACTTATCCTCCTGACTCAGGTCAAGGATGAATGACAGAGCTTTTAGGCCCCTTTAAAGCCTTCAAAGGGCACTGTCTCCAATGTCATCATTTCTCGATGAGAAAACAGAGACCCAGGCTGGGACCCGACCTCCCTAGCATTGTGATCACCCCATGACAAGTGTGACTTGCATCACAGATGTGATCAGTCACAAAAAGAGTATTCTATGTGCATTTCTGAGCTGAGAACAGCCCTTCTGCAAGCAGGACATCCTACAGAGGGTACGCTGTGCCATCTGATCCATGTGTACCTGCCTGCCCACCTCTTGAGTTTGCTGTGTGGGCTGTGAGCAGGTGCACTCCACATGCCTGAGTACTGTGCAGAGCAAGAGGCCAGGAGAGGCAGTTAACACATGCGCCAGGTATCCAGACAGATGGATGGACTTGTGGAAGGCTAATGTAAGGGCAACACAGGGCGCCTAAGGACTCCTGTCAATGTCTCCCACAGTGGTGTGCCCCTGACATACTCCTTGACCCCCTAACCTCATTCTGATCTTTCCATGTTTGCATTTTGTATCGTGTTATTTTGCATTTGTTCTTGTGAGGTTTCTGGAGTTTTCTGAAGGCATTTCAAGGGTGTAAGCTTCTAGTAGAGGACTCTCAAGAGTCACTGAGCACACAGTAGGTGCTCACTAGTGACATGGGCACCTGATGCAATCAGTGGTGTTCACACGTGCAGTGTGGAAATTGTTACCTCCATGCTACGAGAGAAGATACAAGGCTGAGAGGGTTATTTGCATGGCCAGGCACCTGGCTGAGAGCAGAGATGAGCTGAGAGGGCAACCACCCATGACAGCGCGCCTTCTAGACCCAATCACGTGCCGGGCAGCGGGGAGCCCTGCACTGGCACCCTGGAGGGCTGGCCCATTGGTGCCCCCCCACCCCAGCATGTCCGGCTGCTTGTTGGGTACGGCTGGCCCAAGGTTCTGACTGGGCATAGACATGGTCCCCACTGGAGGCAGTCAGAGCCAGAGTGGCCTCAGCAGACTGCCATCTCACAGGGGAGTGAACCAGGACCCAGAGCAGAAGGCTGTGGTTGTGGAGCAGGTGGCAGAGCCAGGCCAGAACCTAGGCTCTCAGCTCTTGTCGCCCGTTTCTAGATGCACCTGCGCTAACAGAGCTTGGCCAGTGGCCTCCTCCTCTGCACAGGGCTCCAGCATGCGGAGTGCACCTGCTCACAGCCCACCCAGCGAACTCAGGAGGTGGGCAGGCAGGTACACACGGGTCAGATGGCACCACTTTTACAGAGATGCCTCGGGAGGCTGCCTTGTTTAACCTCGTATTCATTATGTCACCTGAGTTTAACAGGCAGCAAGGCTAGGGCAGGAGCAGAAAGCGGGGAGCAGCACCTGAGCGCCATCTTCCGACCCACCACGTGCCCTCTGTACCCTGCAGTCTTCCTCTTCCTTGAGTTTGTGTGATACAACCTAAAACCACACAGGAAGAAACCTTGGGCTGTGTGCACTCCCAGAAAGGAGCTGTGTCTGGAGTTCCTGCCGGGGACAAGGGAGGCAGGGTGGTGATGCCGTTTGCCAGAACCGTGCCCCTGCTGCAAGATGCAGGTGCCTGGGGAAGGAAGCACCACAGGGCACTGACCTCTGCTGCGAGGCAAGACTCCACATACAAACACTGGCAAGGGGGCTACGTACCACAGCATGTCATTCAGATCCTTGGACATCATCCATGCCAAGTCAAACATCACCATGGCTGACTACAAGAGAGCAGAGAAGCCTGAGGCCATGTTTGCAGAGGGACACATGCTGCGACCCCACCCAGGGATGGTGCTGGCTGGAATCCATTGCGATGAGGGGCAGCAGTGCTCACTAGTCCAAGGAGAAGACTGAGTAACTGAACTGGCGTGTAGGCTCTCCTCTCCAGTTACAGAGTCACCAGGCGCCGCACGCGTCGTTGTGCGGCCAGGGAAGGCACCTGTACCCCAGGAAGTGCAGCCCTGTGAGCACTGGGATGGGGCCTCTACACACAGCTCCTTTGGCCCTCGGTGATGTTTTAAGTCTGGGTGACCCACTGTCTGCTGGACCCTGCACCCATGCTCTCCTGCTGGCTGGCTGATGGCCTGGTACACAGTCCCAGGAAGGCCAGGCCAGGCAGGCTTGTGGTTTCAGTTATCCAAGTATCAGAGGTGGAGGGAGGGTCTCGGGACCACCTGTGATGAAGGTCTTCCTAACAGCTGTCCAGATGGAAGCATTTCATTTCCTGTGAGCAGTGGGTCTGGGTTGTGTTAGAAGACTGCTAGAAGGTTCAGTGTCTTACTGAATGACACTTAGCCTTGAGACGCTGACTTTCCTTGCAGGGAGAGGATTCCCCTGGACTCGTCCTACTAACTGGAGGGAGATGGGCATCCACAGCTCACTGGCACCTTCTCTGGGTAGGCATCAATATCCTTTCCCTGACTGCTTAGAAACAGGGCAAAGGTATGATCTTTCCTAGGACAACAGGACTGTGACAATAAAAGGGACACTGGACATACAGTGCTAGGGGACAATGTTATACTGGAAACTTGCTTTCTAGGGCTACTTAAGGCCCTGAGCTATACCCAGCATTAATGGAGCTGACCACAAGTAGGTTTTCTATACTAAACCTCTTCCCAAAGATCACGTACCATGTGCCGTTGTACATCTGGGGTTTTATCTTCTTGCACAGAGACTGATACAGACTTGTTAATTATGGTGCTCAGTCTTTTTGATGATAAACGAAAACAATAAACCAAAACCCAACCCGGTTACTGTCAAGTCGATTCCAACTCTCCTTGGTGGTCCAAAAGGTAAGTGCTCAACTTCTAACCAGACGGTTTGGAAGGAAGGCCTGGTGACCTGCTTCCAAATGGCTAAAGCGCTAAAAACCCTACGGAGCATGGTGCTACTCAGTACACGAGGTGGGGGTGGGGAAGGTATGCGCAAAAGCAATAGCTGTTTCTTCATCGAGCACCTTGCAGGTGCTCCGGCCCACTGTAACAAGTGAAATGAGGACAACTTCTTCATTGTATGGGGGGAGGTCAGGCTCAGGTCACACAGTGCCAAGTTGTGAAGCAAGAATTCAACCAGGCTTTCATTTGGTCATTCCTCACATTCTAGGAAATTTATCCTGAGAGCTAGAATTTTAGGGTGAATTGCACATATTCATACTTACTGATGTCCCATGATATTCATACTGCTCATAGTCAAAGAGGATTTCTCTTCTGTAATGGTATAAAATGGATGTATTCAGTAGGAAGTAATACAGTACGCATGACGTTTTAGAAAAATGTTACAACTTGACAGCATTTGAAGAAATGCAAATTAAATCATGGTCCCCCGGTGGTGCACATGGTTTGTGTTCCACCACCAACCTAAAGACTGATGGTCTGAACCCACCCAGCAGCACTGCCGAGGATCAGCCTGGGATCTTTTCCCGTGTTGTTGTTGTTGTTAGTTGTTGCTGAGTACATTCTGACTTGCAGTAACCCCATGTGTACAGAGTAGAATGCTCCATAGAGTTTGACCTTTCAGAAGCAAGGTGTTTGTGCCACCCAGGTACTCCTCTGTCAAGGTAACAGCCAAGGAAACCCCGTGGAGCACAGTTCTATATGAGTCTCCAGGAGTCAGAATCCACAAGACGGCGACTGACAATAAACATTCTCTCACTCCTCGATTCTTTGGTAGAATGTCTATTTACAGCCTTGGGAAAGCATAGTGAAACTGACACACACTACTTGCGGCTATGTAAATGGAAAAATCCCAGAATCCCAAGATAAAAATTCAAAGGAACAAATCAAAACAAGATTTGATATGTACAGTTACTCATTGCATCCTTATGTGCAAATGGCAAAATACTGGAAGTAACCTATAGACCAAAAAGGAGGGGCATTGCCAACAAAGAACTATGCAAAATGGTTACGGTTAAGGGAGGAATGTAAAATTAGACGACTATCAAAAACCAAACTCACTGCCGTGGAATCGGATCCAACTCATAGCAACCCCTCCTTGGGTTTCCAAGGCAGTATCACTACAAAAGTAGATTGCCCAACCTTCCTTCGGAGGAGTGGCTGGTAGATTTGAACCGCCACCCTTCTGACGGTTAGCTGTCAAATGCCTCAGGCACTACGCCACCAGAGCTCCCATACAGTGATGTATATAATGATGATGTAAAACTGTGTAAGAACAGATAACCCAGGAGGAGAACTCTAAGCCTGAAAAGACTCTGTGCATTATTAGTGGTCACCAGTGGTGGGAGGGAGGGAAAGGGTAAGCTCTTACTTGGGGATTGAGTTTAGGCGAATGGTGGTAGAGCATTTTGGAAAAGTACAGCAATAATGGTGTTGTTGTTGTTGTTGTTATGTGCCGTCGAGTCAATCCCGACTCCTAATGGTGGTACAACATGAAAAATGTCATTAGTGTCCCTGAGCTGTAAATGGGGGTGCTGATATGTTGGCAAATGTCTTGTGTAAAATTTAAAAAAAAACAACATTCTTTGGCTTAGGTAGTGAGATTATGGATTACATTTTCTCTCCTTTACTTCTTGAAATGTTTTCCCATTGTCTGTATAAAGATAAAGAGAAGTTTAACAAGAAATGGACCACCCTGTTTGCCTATTGAGAACATAAGCAGAGGCCGGGTGGCATGTATGTCTCTAGGTGCCCTGAGACGTGAGAACCAAAGGGAGTTTCCTGTTGGGGACTGTGGGTCTGTGGTCTGGGCTTGTCTACTCTCATGAGGTGTGGCCTTCTCCCCACGCTACAGGGGTGAATGCCCACAATTGAAACAACGGGGACTGGAGGCAGAACAGCTCCGTGAGACCTCCGGGGACTGGACTCAGCAAAGAATTCCCCTGTACGCAGCTCAAGGGCAATACTGCACATTCACTTCAAACTGGAAAAATCTTTACAGTATTTTTACTTTAAAGCACTGTAATTTCATAATTTGTAATATGAAGTAGAATTATTGATAGCTTACTTTCCTTTTCATAGGTTTCTATGAAAAGCTCTACATAATTGGCATCTATTTTTATTATAAAGAGTTTGAAACAAAAGTATCTACCTCTGGAAAACTTTAGAAAAATAAAGAACCAGGGTCCATCACCCTAACAGATGGCTTGTACCTGTGAGACCTTTGGGCCCAGGCTGCCATGCCTGGGTCAGTGGTGACACAGCCTTCTTCATGCAGGGGCCACATGCTCAGGCTGGACAAGTGGCTCTGGGCTCTAAACTAAACACTTTACTCTAAAACTGAAAAAGATGCACAGCCTCCCAGGAGCATGCAGGTGTGGGTGGCACCCAGTCCCTCCGGAGGAACTGGCTTCTGGACACTAGAGTGTTGCTTCCAGCTGTGGGGTGCTGTTCCCAGACGGTGAGGTGCTGTTTCCAGCCACAGGGAAAATGCTCCTGGACAGTGGGGTACTACTCCTTGATATGGGGGTGCTGCTTCACACAGACTCACCTCCGGGCCTCCCACGCTCTTCGCTCCCTCCTCTTCATGGTCTGCTCCACCATTTCCTGGCACAGGAACAAAGAGAACAAAACGCCAGGGATTTATCCTCACAGCCTAAGAAGTCTCTGATTTGGCAAAGGCCACGAAGCTCAGACCCCTGAGGGAAAAACCTGGGCCACCCTGGGCTCGAGAGCCGTCTGGTGCTAAACAATGGCCCAGGTCCCTTCCGACTCATGGGCACTGCCGACACCTTGGAGAGAAGGGAGGGAATGTTTCATAAGCACCTGCTCCAGGCGAAACTCTGGGTGAGCCCCTCGCAGCTCTTCATCGCCACCTCCCATCGCGTGACCCGGGGCAAGCCACTCACTCGCCTCATACCAGTTTCCTCATTGGCATGAACAAGAGTTGGTGTTTCTCAGGAGTCCTTGGGTGGTGCCAATGCCCACGTGCCCAGCTGCTCACTGAAGGCTTGGTGATTCAAGACCACCAGAGGGGCCTCAGAAGAAAGGCCTGGTGGTGTGCCTCCCAAACAGGAGCCCTTACAAACCCTGTGGAGCACAGCTGTACTCTGACACACACAAGGCTGCCAGGACTTGGCACCAACTCAACAACAACTGGTTAACTGCTTAATGTTTCTTACATTCTACCATATGCCGGTCACTGTTCTAATTTTACAAGCACAATCTCATTTAATTCTCAAAACAAAGGATGAGATTTTACGTCGTTTGAAAAAACCCTTGGTCTCAAGACTTACGCTTTTGGGAATATGGCGTAGATGCACTTCTCCCTATCTCTCACACTAAATATGACCAAAAGCCTTGGACATTATATATCAGACAAACAAAAGAAGACCAGGAAAGGCAGAGATGGGGGCACACCAGCTGAGATGTTGGGACCCAAGGAATGACAGACGTGGCAGTAAGTTTACAGCAGACAAAGGAGAAAACAAAATCAAAGACTATAAGGCAATTCTCAGCTTTGAAGGACACAAGCTTTCAGCTTTCTTTGAGTTTTCTTCTTGCCTTATGTATCCTAGATACAGAGCTGAAGAAGCCAGCAACCTGGAAACACCGACAGGTACAGACAAAAAGCCACGACAAAAGTCTGCTTTCTCTGGTCAAAAGGCCAAGGAAGGGGACAGCCAAGCAAGATAGAAAACTTTAAGACAGTAACTGCTCTACTCTGGCCTAACACCACAAAAAAAGCCAGGGCCCTGTGCCCTCCAACACCTGCAAAAGCCATATGAGAGCCCAGTATTCCATCCTTGGGGAGTTGTGATACCTCTAATACACGGCTAGGCTAGGTCACAGAAGGCCAAGGAGGGAGCTGGGACTTCCATTGTCTACTGGTAATGAAGAGGCGGCCCCTCGGTGTCAACAGAGGCCAAGTGGTGAGGCTGACCTTCCACTTCCACCTGGCAGTAAAGGAGCCATGCCCCGCCTCCACTGCTGGAGTGGTATCAGAGAAAGCCAGCTACAATACAAGGTTTAAACAAGACCTAGAGTCTTGTAACGTAATACAAAAATGTCCAGGTTTCATGTGAAAATCACTTGTCATACTAAGAACCAGGAAGATCTGAAACTGTATAAAAAAGACAATATCATCAGATGCCTACACGGAGAGGACAGGGCTGTTAGAATTTTCTGACAAAGATTTTAAAGCAGCCATGACAAAAATACTTTCATGAGCAGTTACAAATGCACCTGAAGCAAATGAGAACAGGCAGTCTCAACGAAGAAAGAGTCTCAAAGAAGAAACAGAAGATATGAAGAACCAAACGAAAAGTTTAGAACTGAGAAATATAAAAACCAAAACCAATGGTGGATGGGTACAAGAGCAGAAATGAGGGGCCAAAGGAATCAGTGAACTGGAAGAGAGGACAATCGATATTGCCAGTCTGAATAGAGTGAAAACACCCGCAGGGACTGGTAGGATTATAACAAAAGATGTAATATTCATATTGTAGGATCCTGGAAGGAGAAGAGAAAGAGGGTGGGGCTGATAAAGCTCACAAAGAAAGAATGGTTAAAAATTTGGTAAGAGACATAAACCTACATATACCCACTCCTCACTGATCAACATGGTTAGGTTCCAAAGACCATGTCATTATGTGGAAATTGGCATTATGCGAAAATGCATCATGACCCTATTAGAACACAAGATGGAATATGACCATGTCAGTACGTAACTGCCAAATTACATCATTACATAACTGCCAAACCATGGAGAATCATGGCCTAGCCAAGCTGAAAAATCACCTTAACCATCATAGCCAGCATTACACTTGCCTTGTAGCTTGGCACTTGTTACTGCCAGGAGTACATCATCAATGCAAAAAATAGCTGGGCAGATTTTATTTTATTATTGTTTAAATGTGAAACATCAGATAACAAGAGAGTTGATAAGTGAAGTGTAGGTGTATTTAAGAAGTTGAGAGAAGCCGGAACAGGGAAAACATAAAGAAATTCACACTGACACATAATAATTAAACTCCTCCAAACTGAGCAAAAGAAAAAAAAGACAAAAAACTTGAAAGCAGCAAAAGAAAAAAACACCACCTTTCCTATAGGGGAAAAAATAATTCCAGTCAATTCTCAGAAACCATGAAGGTCAGAAAGAAGCGATACCATATTTTTCAAGTCCTGAGCAAAAAGAAAGGAGCTCTGGCGGTGCAGTGCTCAAGGCAACTGACTGCTAACCAGAAGGCTGATGGTTCAAACCCATCAACCACTCTACGGAAGGAAGATGGGGCAATCGACTTCCATAAAGATTTATGGCCTCAGAAACCAATGGGGGTTGCTATGAGTTGGAATCGACTCGATGGCAGTAGGTTTGGTTCAGTTTTTGGTTATCAGAAAAAAGAGCTGTTAACCCAGAATCCTACACACAGCAAAATTTATTTTGCAGAAATGAAGGGGAAATCATGACATTCTCAGAAAGAAAAGTAAGAGAATTTGTTGCCAGTAGACCTACCTCAAAATAATAGCTAAAGAAAGTTGTGTAAACAGAAAGAAAATGAAAAAAAAAAAAAAAAAAGAAAGAAAGAAAAGAAAAGAAACTTTGGAATGTGAAGAAAAGATGAACCAACAAACAAAACTTTGGGTAAATATAATGTTTCTCTTGAGTTGTATAATTATGTATGATGGGTGAAGCAAAAATTGTAACACCAATATGGTTTTAAGTGTATGTACAGGAAATATTTAAGAAAATTATATCATAAACAAGGAGGAGTAAAGGGACCCAAAGGGAAGTAAGATAAAATGATACCAGTGAACTGGTAAGTTTTATATATGTAATGTGATACCCAGAGCAGCCACTAAAAAATCTAAACAAGAAGGTATGCTCAAAAACACTACAAATATGACTCCTACCTCACAACGTTTACAAAAATTATATTATAAGAGCCAAAACCATAAAACTCTTAGAAAAAAACATATGGGTAAAGTTTCAAGAAATTGTTTTTGAAAATGGATCTTAGGTCACCAAAAGCATGAGCAACAATAGAAAAAAAATTATAAACTGCCTTCATTAAAATTAAAAACTTTCATGCATCAAAAGACTTTATCAAGAAAGTAAACAACATACACACACATATTTATTGCAGTATTATTCATAATAGCATAAAGATGGAATCAATCTAAGTGCCCATCAATGGATGAATGGATAAGTCAAATATGGTACATGCATATGACGGACTACTACTCAGCAATAAAGAAAAATGACTTCCGGAAACATTTTGGAACATGGATGAACCTGGTGGCATTATGCTGAGTGAAATGAGTCAATCACACAAAAAACAAATATTGTATGGTTTCACTTTTATAAAATGATATGAACCAGTAAATACATAGAAATGAAATGTCCATTAGAACTCTGGTGGTGTAGTGGATAAAGCATTTGGCTGCTAACCAGAAGGTCAGCAGTTCAAACCCACCAGGTGCTCTGCAGAAGGAAGATGGGGTAATCTACTTCCATAAAGGTTTACAGCATTGGAAACCCAGTGGGGGTTGCTATGACTTAGAATCGCCTTGATAGCAGTGAGTTTTTTGAGAATGTTCATTAAATTAAAAGACAGAAAACGAATAAAAGACCATAAAGAATGTCAGAAAAGACTCTGCAACTTGCTATGGAAAGGAAAGTGAGTCCTAAAGCAAAAGAAGAAATGATGAGTTAAAAAAGCTGAACAAAAGATTTCAAAGGGCAACTCAAGAAGACTAGATAAAGTGCTATAATGAAATGTGAAAAAGACCTGAAGTTAAACAATCAAAGGGAAGAATACGCTTGGTATTTCTCAAGTTGGAAGAACTGAGGAAATAGTTCAAGCCTCAAGGCTTGGAAGTTTTCCTCAACTCTTCCAGCTTGAGAAATGAAGGATTCTATGGGCAATATATTGAATGATTCAAGAAGCATCAAAGGAAGATGGAAGGAACACAGAGTCACTGTACCAAAAGGAAGTGGTTGATGTTTAATCATTTCATGAGGTGGCATATGATCAAGAACTGATTGTATTGAAGGAAGAAGTCTAAGCTGCACTGAAGAAATTGGTGAAAAACAAGGCTCCAGTAACTGATGGAATACGCAATGTGATATTTCAACAAATGGATGCAGTTGGCCAGGTAGCTGACTTCAAGTTTCTTGACATAAATAAGTGAGCACCTCTAGCTCACTTACTTATGTCAAGAAACTTAAAATCAGCCACCTGGCCAACTGACTGGAAGAGATCCATATTTGCGCCCATTCCAAAGAAAGGTGATGCAACAGAATGTGTAAATTATTGAACAATATCATTAATGTCATACACAAGTAAAATTTTGCTGAAAATAATTCAAGAATGCTTGCAGCAGCATATTGGCAAACAACTGCAAGCAATCTGAGCTGGATTCAGAAGAGGAATTGGAACAAGTCTTGCTGATGTCAGATGGATTTTGGCTGAAAGCAAAGAATACCAGATAGATGCTTATTTGTTTTACTGACTATGCAAAGGCATTTGACTGTGTGGATGATGATAAATTACAAATAACATTGCAAAGGATGGGAATTCCTTAACACTTAATTGTGCTCATGA